TGTATGTTTTGTAAGTGAGTGTGTATGTATGTCTGTCGCTGACTGTGTCTCTGTCAGTAAATGTGTGTCTGTTAGCTAGTGTGTATGCGTCTGTAAGTGTGTGTGTGTCTTCAACACTTACCTTTCTCCAGCGCCGGACTCCCTTGGTGCTGAGGATCCCTCAGCCTCTCAGCTCCGAATGCGACCGCGCACGCATTCAAACCGCCCATAGGAAAGCATTACTCAATGCTTTCCTATGGACGTCCAGTGTGTTCCTCTAGCGGCTGTCAGTGAGACAGGCACTAGAGGCTGGATTAACCCTCAGTGAAACATAGTAGTTTCTCTGAAACTGCTATGTTTTCAGCTGCAGGGTTAAAACTAGAGGGACCTGACACCCAGACAACTTCATTGAGCTGATGTGATCTGGGTGTCTGTAGTGGTCCTTTAAAGGACCACTATAGTGCCAGGAAAACATACTCGTTTTCCTGGCACTATAGTGCCCTGAGGGTGCCCCCACCCAGCTCTGGAAAGGGGAAAAGGGGTAAAACTTACCTTTTTCCAGCGCTGGGCGGAGAGCTCTCCTCCTCCGATCCTCCTCTTCTCCTCCCCGTCGGCTGTATGCGCACGCGCGGCAAGAGCTGCGCGCGCATTCAGCCGGTCACATAGTAAAGCATTCATAATGCTTTCCTATGGACGCTGGCGTGCTCTCACTGTGAAAATCACAGTGAGAAGCACGCAAGCGCCTCTAGTGGCTGTCAATGAGACAGCTACTAGAGGAAATAGGGGAAGGCTTAACCCATTCATAAACATAGCAGTTTCTCTGAAACTGCTATGTTTATGAAAAATGGGTTAACCCTAGCTGGACCTGGCACCCAGACCACTTCATTAAGCTGAAGTGGTCTGGGTGCCTAGAGTGGTCCTTTAAGTGTGTGTGCATCTGCATGCACTGGCTCACATACCGCGGTCGCAGGGGTCGCAGCCCTGTAACCCCTGCGACCAGGTGCCCACCGCCATGTGTTGCGGCCCGGCCTGCACGCGGGGGGGATCCCACGGATCAATTTTCGCACCGGGGCCCCATGGGTCATGTGTACGCCACTGTGCCTATCCCTTCTATAGCCCCTGTGTCCCCCACCACTGCCCCCGTGCCCTCCCTCTACAGCCCCCATGTCCCCCCTCTACAGCCTCCATGTCCCCGCTCTACAGCACCTGTGTCCCCACCTTTACAGCCATCGTGTTCCCCTCTCTACAGCCACCGTGTTCCCCTCTCTACAGCCACCGTGTCCCCCCCTCTACAGCCCCTTTCCCCACACATACCTTGCCCTCCATTGTACATCCCCTATCCCCCACCACAGCCCCTGACCCTCTTCTAGAGCCCCTGTGCCTCCATCTACAGCCCTTTTCCACCAGAAATAAGGTGGTATCAACCCTTGTGTTTTAGAGAGAATTGAGACTTGCCAACTAATCAGAGCACTCTACTTAGATTTCAAAGTATGGGAAAGTCTTTATAAAGACTTTTCCCACCTTGAAAGCTCATTCTCCATGGTACTTCACATGGCTCAGTTGGATATATTTTTGTTGCACGGTTTTATTATATTGCTATTTATTTGCAAATCAGATACTTTTTTTTTTAATAGTAATGATAGGAATTTATAAAAAAAATATTTGGGGTTAAAAGAAAATTTAAGAAGAAAGATGTCTCATGGTAAGTATCGATGTAATTTTATTTTCTGAGGTATTTGATTTTTTCCCCCACCCCTTCTATTATTAAGAGGATAGGCAAGATTTTTTTATTGGGGAATGGCTAAGCGCTTGGGGACTCTAGCCACTCCAAGGAAGTAGGAGGAGGACACTGGGCAATATTTTTGGAGGGGGGGAGGAAAATGGAATGTCCAATCTCCCATCTATATTTTATTATTAGCCCTCACCCGCTTCCCATCAATGGGCCTTGGGGAATGTTATGTCCCTCACTAGATATTAAATTAAATACCCCCACCCATGGATGTGGGCTGGAGGGGACATTAGATACCCCCCTTTATTAAGTTTATAGCCTCCACATGCCACAGTGGGTGGGGGTTGGGGAGATATTAGGGCCCACCAGTTATTAAATTGATCGCTCCTGCATGCTACCTATTGGTGGATCTATGGGTCACAACAGGTTCTCCAATTTATTTTAAAAAGTATTCCCCACAGATTGACCATGAATATGGACAAGAGGACAATAGGCTGTTGCCCTTTTTTCGTTTAATAACCCCTAAGTGCTAGTCATGGGTTGGGATATTTAAATATTTATGCTGCACATGAAAACAGGTGCTCTATAATACAGGTGATCCTCGAAAAGTTAGAATATTGTGCAAAGGTTCATTTATTTCAGTAATGCAATGTAAAAGGGGAAACTAATAAATGAGATAGACGCTTTACATGCAAAGCAAGATAGTTCAAGCTGTGATTTGTCATAAGTACGATGATTATGGCTTACAGCTCATGAAAACCCCAAATCCACAATCTCAGTAAATTAGAATATTACATGCAATCAATAAAACAAGGAGTTTACATAGAACAGTATCGGACCTCTGAAAAGTATAAGCATGCATATGGACTCAGTAGTTGGTTTGGGCCCCTTTTGCAGCAACTACTGCCTCAATGCGGTGTGGCATGGAAGCTATCAGCCTGTGGCACTGCTGAGGTGTTATGGAGGGCCAGGATGCTTCAATAGCGCCCTTCAGCTCTTCTGCATTGTTCAGTCTCATGTCTCTCATCTTTCTATTGGCAATGCCCCATAGATTCTCTATGGGGTTCAGGTCAGGCGAGTTTGCTGGCCAATCAAGCACAGTAATCCCACGGTCATTGAACCAGAATTTGGTACTTTTGGCAGGTGCCAAGTCCTGCTGGAAAATGAAGTCAGCATCCCCATAAAGCTTGTCTGTGGAAGGAAGCATGAAGTGCGCCAAAATCTCCTGGTAGACGGCTGCGTTAACCCTGGACTTAATGAAGCACAGTGGATGACATGGCTCCCCATATCAACACAGACTGTGGAAACTTCACACTGGACTTCAAGCATCTTGCAGTGTTTGCCTCTCCATTCTTCCTCCAGACTCCGAGTCCTTGGTTTCCAAATGAGATGCAAAAGTTGCTCTCATCAGAAAAGAGGACTTTGGACCACTGAGCAACAGACCAGGTCTGTTTTTCTTTAGCCCAGGTAAGATGCTTCTGACATTGTTTGTTGTTCAGGAGCGGCTTAACAAGAGGAATACGACATCTGAAGCCAATGTCCAGGATCCATCTGTGTGTGGTGGCTCTTGATGCACTGACTCCAGCCTCTGTCCACTCCTTGTGAAAGTCCCCAACACTTTTGAATGGCCTTTTCCAGACAATCCTCTCCAGGCTGCGGTCATCCCTGCTGCTTGTGCACCTTTTTCTTCCACATTTTCCCCTTCCACATAACTTTATATTAATGTGCTTTGATAATGTGCTTTGATACAGCACTTTGGGAACATCCAACTTCCTTCGCAATTACCTTTTGAGGCTTTCCCTCCTTATGGGGTGTCAATGATAGTTTTCTGCACAACTGTCAGGTCAGCAGTCTTCCCCATGATTGTGATTCCTACTGAACCAGACTGAGAGACCATTTAAAGGCTCAGAAACCCTTTGCAGGTGTTATGGCTTACTTAGCTGATTAGAGTGGGACACTGTGAGCCTAGAATATTGCACCTTTTCACAATATTCTAATAAGATTGTGGATTTGGGGTTTTCATGAGCTGTAAGCCATAATCATCGCACTTATGACAAACTACGGCTTGAACTATCTTGCTTTGCATGTAATGTGGCCATCTCGTATATTAGTTCCCCTTTTACGTTGCATTACTGAAATAAATTAACTTTTGCACAATATTCTAATTTTTCAAGTATCACCTGTATGTAGCATTCATATTTTCTAGGAGACAAATTATTAGGGATCTTTCTTGTATTAGTGAATCAGTTCCTTTCCTGCGGTATAAACATTCTACATACTTAAGATTAGAAGACTGCAATTTTTCTTACACATTGATTAGGAATCCTGTCTAATGTAACCCTATGTAAGACACAGGTGAATATCAAGTTCATCTGTGTGCTATTATTTAACTGTTACTGTTGAAAAAAAATGCATAATTCTATTACAGTACAATCAGTTATAAATAATGCAGGTATATAGAGATAAAATATCTTACATGCAAATTGTGAGCACAGACTTGTGATGATGCATATTATAGACAGTGCTTCAATACAGAGTTTTTTATCAGCATTTTTCCTTATGTACCTCCCTTCCTGGGAAGGCTTCCTATGATTTCCCTCCAAGTGCACTAATGTGTAATCAACAGGAATAAGAGTATCCTGACTGGGGACGAAGCTGTGAACCAGGCGTCACCGTCATGCTGTAGATTTATGAGCAATGAGTAGTGGTCACATCACAGGGTTGGAGTGAGATCAACATTCTTCATGCTTCTAACATCCACTTATTCTTTAGTATTCTGTCCTGGTCTTGTGGGATTCCCAGAAGGGGAAGTCACAACATTTGGGAAATGCACTAAGGAGAGGTTCATGATATGTGCTTTCGGAAAGATAAGGATGCTGCCCTTTTTAATGTGTGAATATGTTTCACATAATGCAGATAATGGAACAGCGCATACTCACAAAAAAATTTTTTTAACAGTTTGCAAGGCTACTTAAAATCACCAATCTTAGCAAACAAATATGGGTATTTAGTTACAACGTATGGCAAAAAAACTGTACTACGTACAGAGCTGGACTGGCCCAACTGGATACCTGGAAATTTCCCTGTGGCCTGTCACACCTGGGACCAGACAGGCAGCCCTAATGCCATTTCAATTATTTTTCCCCTTGGACTGTGACAGTGCAAGGGAATTAAAGAGGGAGGTGCAGGGGGCTGGTGTCGCCGCATTAAGGTGTCCAGCAGCCTGAAGGAGCACTGTCTGTCCCCAGCCCTCAAGCAGATGACTTCTCTGGTAGGAAGAAGCTGGGAAATGGCAACTTCACCACTCGCACAGCCTTTAGTGCCAGGTAGGCTTCAAATACTCAGCAGCTCATGACTGAGAGTGATCTTGTGTGTGTATGCACCTACCAGTGAGTGAGCCTGTATGTGTGTATGTCACTGACAAGCTCAGTGACACACACATGCTCACTACAGACAAGTTCACTGACACACATGCTCACTATACACAAGCTCACAGACACACATTCTCACTACAGACAGGCTCACAGTCACACAAACACACATATACGCACATTACAGACAAGCTTACAGCCACACACATGCTAACTACAGACAAGCTCACTGACACACACAACCTCACTAAAGACAAGCTCACTGTCACACACATGCTCACTACAGACAAGCTCACTGACAGTCACAGCTTGATTTGAAGGGGACGTCAGAGGTGTGAGTATGAACAATAGTTAGACGCAGATCTTCAGCAGAGTGTAGGAGCTTGGACAGTACGTACTTCTGTATTAGTGAGGATAAATAGGTAGAAGTAATGTTATGTAGAGATTTGTAAGCAAGCACCAGCATTTTAAATTGAGGCCTAAATCTTATGGAAAGCCAGAAGGAATAGGCATGGGAGGTGTGTGCGGACAGGAAGATGAGCCTCGCCACCCCATATTATAGACTATAAGCTGGAAACGCACACGTTCACTGACACACACTTGCTCACTACAGACAAGATCACTACAGACAAGCTCACACAACCTCACTACAGACGAGCTCACACAACTTCACTACAGACATGCTCATTGACACATATGCTCACTACAGAAGCTCACTGATACACACAACCTCATTACAGACATGCTCACTGACACACACAACCTCCCTTGAAGGGGACGTCAGAGGTGGGAGTATGAACAGTGGATAGGTTTAGATCTTCGGCAGAGCGTAGGGGCTTGGACAGGACGTATTTCTTTATTAGTGAGGCTAGATAGGTAGAAGCAGTGTTATGTAGAGATTTGTAAGCAAGCACCAGAATTTTAAACTGAGCTCTAAATTTTATGGGAAGCCAGAAGGAATAGGCATGGGAGGTATGTGTGGACAGGGAGATGAGCCTCACCACCGCATGTATTATAGACTATAAGCTGGAAATGCGTAAGGTCACTGAGAAACTGAATGTAGTAGAGGCGAGACCAGCACCTTAGCCGCATCCGGCGTTAGAGGCGGATTAGAGGTGACTTTCCTAATCTAGGAAATCATCTTCTTAATTGGAGAAGGAGCAGCAACAGGTCAAATAAGAGAGGTAAAAGTGTGAAGTATGTGTTTGGGTTCTCAAGAAAGTGTGGTTATGAGGATGTTGAAGTACTTTTCTTTTGGAAAGGAAGAGGAAAAAGCCAAACTGAATGAGTGTAGCATATCTACCAAGGGTGGTGTGATTTGGGTAAAGGGTTTGCCAATGTCAAAGGTCAGCAGATGGTGATCAGATATAGGATATAGAACACTGGATAGATTAGAGGTGGTACAAATATTGGTGAAGATGAGATCAAGAGTGTTTCCTGATGCATTAGTTGCTGAGTTAGACCACTGTGTGTGACTTAAGGAGGAGGTTACAGAGAGCAGCCGAGAAGCATCAAAGCTGTTAGAATTGTTGATTGGGATATTAAAGTTGCCAAAGATAAGAGAGGGAATGCTAGAGGAGGGGAAGTGGGATAACCAGGATGAAAGGTGTTCAATGAATAGGCTAGGCTGACCGGATGATGATGGCAGTTCTTAAAGGAGTGGATTTAAGTAGTCGTACAGTATGAACGTTGAAATAAAAGATAAGGCAGGGACCAGGCAGATTGGCTTAAAGGTACAGAGAGAAGGGTGTCTACATTTTACAGTTGACAAGTCTGGGAGTGTGGAAGAATTGGAGGCCACCGAAACAAAAAAAAGCAGAAGTAGGATCAACCAGGTCTACACTACTGTCAGTGAGTCCAGTAGTGTTAGAGATTTTAAAAATGTAATCTATAGCTGTCGATTTCAGATTGCTGCAGACAGTGCACACAGAATATTGGTAGATGAGGAGAAATTCCAGGTACTTGGAATGAGGTTTATACGGTTTCTGTTAGGCTTAATGTGAGCAGAGGAGGTGAAGGTGGTCTAGGATGAGATTGTTTGGTAGTAGGAGAGGGAAGAAAAGAATTACTGCCGGACATGAGATGAGGGAAGTGTGGCAGAGAGAGGAAAATTTGGAGGTTGTTGGGAGGTTGAGGGGAGTGGAGGAAAGAAGTGATATTGATCATTAGCGAGGAGAAGGAAAAGAAGAGAAGACAGAGCATTACTCAGATAAGTATGCAAACAGCTTTGGAGTTGGGGGATGTGGCGGCTACCCAGATAGGAACACGGGTCTCACCGCCAAAGACGTTGTTTTTCCCCTCTCTGGAACTCTGCTGCGCCGGATTCAGTGGTATAGCTGTTAAGTGATTATAGCTTCCAAGTGATTAGAGCTCTGGAGTATAGCTTTCCCCCACAGACATTAACAGAATCTTAATGCTGGAAGTGAACTGGTTTAATGGGTCATGGTACAGGCAATTTATACACAGACCCTCAGCAGGGAGTCGCCATACAGTTACATACAAACTCCTCCCCGGTGCCCCTGAATCTGAGAGATAATTGAGTGTATTATGCATAAATAATTATCTCTCAGACACAGAGGTACAATGTTCAAAATACAAAACACCCCAAAACAGATATAATATTACAAGGGACCCCCTCAAGTCCTATATATCATAAATATATATGTCCCAGATAGCCTGGATCTGAGTGCCCAACATATCCAAATAGCCCTCAGATCCCACTAACAGAGCCAAATTGCCGACTGCACATGTTGCGCCTGCCCAAAATAGTTCCGGCAGAAAGGTGGTGGTGGTCAGTCTCGTTTGGGAGTCGAAAAACGAACAAACCACCGAACATATTCTTTGGCTCCTAAGTAGCGTTTGTTCACCTCGTTCGTATGAACAATTCTACCGAACAATCCTACCTCTTCTGAGGTGTGAGGAAACAAAAGCAGGCAAGTATGGAAGTTCAGCGGTGTTCGCAAGTTAGTGTGTCAGATTTCAACACTGCTGCCTACTTTCGTGCGACACGATGGCCGCCAACTAATTTTCCACATGTTCATCTATGCAAATGGCGGCCACCCAGCAGAACACTTAGAATACTGAGGTGCGAACCGATTATGGAGGTGTCAATAGGGGTTATTAGTGACGGGGTGTTCTGTCACAGGGGATTAGGTCAAGAGTGGTGAGGAGAGGAAATGCAGAGGTGCACAATGTTTTGAAAAAAAAAAAGTATAAAGAATTGATCTGGAATATAACAGTAGGGTAGGGAGAGTGGGGATGGATTGCAAGGGTTTTAACAGTTTTACATTTTATAAGGTTACTTAAAATCACATATATCAGCAAACAAATATAGATGTTCAGTTCCATCAATTTGCTATATTATGTTAAGCCCTTCACTTCTTCACAGTACCCCAACAATGGTGGTTCCTACATTACCTAAATGCATGTTGCACTACTTAGAAATGCATGTTCCAGTTGTGCTCTCAATCCCCTTTTTTCTATGAATTTGGTCCACAACCTTGATACCAATAAGGTCTGTGCTCTGCAGTTTGTTCTTTTGGCAGATTGATCAGTTCTTTATGGGTTTCCATTTTCATAATTCATATATTCATATATGGGCAAATAGAGTCCTGTGTTAGGAATATGTTTAGGAATATTAATTTGCATATTTTATGTACCTGCAGGTTTGTGTATGTATGATTACAAAAATATATACATGTGTGCACTTGTAATTATTGTATATATTATATGTAACTGTAAGTTTGTTATATTTAAATTCTACATTGTCTGTTACCTAGATCTAATGCACTTTTGTAGTTTCCTTGATTACCAATTTGATATTAAACATTGTTATGATTGAACTCAGCAATCCCATTTATTAATTGTTTGCAGTCCACCTAAATTCTATTGAGTTAACACTTATATGATTTATTATATAGAAAGGGGTGGGAGCTTAATAGCTGGTAGCAGCATGCTACCAGGAAACAGAATAATTACATTCTGTTTTTCAGTTTGTATTTTGCTAATTTGATTTATTTGCTCCACTAAATGTGAGTATGTTTTAATCTTATAATCTATACTTTAGTTCAACAGCTACACACTATTGTGGCTTTTCTTCTCTTCTATGTCCATACACGGAGAGGCCAAAGCACCACTTATATCCTAGAGTGGGGATCATACCACTCCAAGCCATATCTAGGGAGCCAACGTTTTGGCTCCATAATATGTGAGTGCACATTTTTTTACCCTGTTTTATTCCCTTTTGGTTTGATGTACTACACCATATCATTTTTATTTTTTCCTACATATCTATGAGGATACTGTTGTAGAGGAAGACCATTCGCAGACCTGGCGACCACAGTATATCTCTAGGTGGGGATTATTTTGCCCAAGCACAAAGGTTGGAGGTACACTCAGGCTCCCAAAAAATGTGAGTGGTTTACCTTTTTTTACTTTTTTATCATTGTTACCAACATACTACACCATGAGTTTTCTTCTTTTATTTTATTTTACAAATCTTCAAGGACATGGCAAGTGCTACACCACCCTTCTGTTTCTCCATATATACACACAGACACACACTGACACACACAGATGCACACATACACACACAGATACACACATACACATGCCTACACATACACACTGGCACACACACAAATTGCAGTTGACATATTATTAACCACCCCCTGCTTCCATACCTTTTGGTTACAGGGAGGTGAATTCCTGGGCTGGCTGATGCTGATGAGAGTCTGCCTGCAGAGCTCTCTCTCCCCCTCCTCTCAGTGTTTCTTCAATCCTCCCAGCCCATGCGGTCTGTAAGCTGAGAGGAAGTAACAGATATAGTCACTTCCTCCCAGCACTCTCTGGTCATATTAAAGGGACCCGGTCTCTGCAAAATTTAAAGGGGTCTGTGGTAGGTAGTTCTGCCTATAGAAGCTGCACTATTTTCTCAGGGGGGGCAATTGTCCCATTGCCCCCCCGGATCCGCCACTGACCAGCGTGTGGGCCGTATGATAGACATCATCTTGCCAAGACAGTGTGACCTCCATGGACCACAAACTGACAACAAGGCATCTAGTAAACAGTAGGCTGAAATTAGGGGTACCAAACTCAACAGCCAGGACGTTCCGGGTGCTCTGGAGCAGGTGAGAACCACTGGGCA